TTCGAACATACTGCATGAATCGAAAGACTTGTTTTTCTCTCTTTTGTGTTGTTTTTGTTTTTACATTTTTCTTGCTATTCAATATGGTTGTAATAATTAGGACTTTTATTGCTTTCCAACCCCCATTTGTAAATTTGTATACCCCATCCCCAAAATATGCAATAGCGTAGGACATCTATTTTCCGCAATTTACCGCTTTTTATATAAAATGCTAGTAATTAAGGTGTGTATGACAAAATTTAAAATCAACAAGTAGACAACCCTAATTCAAGACTAAACCAGGCACAAAATCAAACACATTATTCACACACATGCACCTCTAGGGTAATCTCGTTTGTTGCCTCGGAAAATAGTCACGTCCCTCGAATATGGGCGTTTTAGCAAAGACCCTCAATAAAAAGATCGCAATCCCTTGATGTTGCCTCTGGTAAACGATTTAGTCCATTATGAAAATTGCTAAAATGTCTCATAAGTTGCCTTCTATGACTATATGATTGACCCACGTCCGTCCCTTCACATCCAATGATGGAGCTTCTTACCAAATCAATGGTAAGATAGCAACGTCTATAGGAGAAGGAAAAGAACATAGACCTTTTGAGTAGGTAGGACACTCGTAGTTGCTTGCTCTTAAACTAAAACCATTTCCACACTTACACTTTCAAAACATCTTTAAAAACAAACATCTCTTTGAACTATTTTCAAAACCAACACTTTGTACGCATTCTTATAGAGACGAGAATCATTATAAAGTTAGCCGCAACAAAGGCATTTTGCAATATATTTTCAAACTTACACCCATCACAAAACCCATTTTCAAACAAAGTATTTTTCAATGATCTAGCAAGAAACTAAGAGCCCGTAGATAACTACGGATGAAAAGAGTGCTAACACCTTGCCTTTTCATAACCTACCTCCCGAACTTAAGAAAACATCTCTAAAGGTCTTTCATGTTCTTTTCACCTTTCCTTTATTGGATAAAAGAAAAGTTGGTGGCGACTCTTACTATCTGCAACAATTGTGATCAAACGCAAAACACCCAAGTCAGTTCTCCCACCGTATGACAAATTGTTTTAAACTTTAAAAAATCACAGAAAATTCATTTCTGACCCAAAAATTATGAAAAAATTCAAAAAAATATTTTCAAGTATTCTCTTTCTGATTTTTATTTTTTCATGATTTTATTTTCAGATTTGATATTTTTTATAATTTTCTTTGTTTTGACTTGTTTTTAATTCTAAAAAAAAGTCATCAAGATCATTTTCTTTATTTCAGACTTTCTGAATTTTTTCTAGAATTTAATTTTTATTTTTACTATTTTTGATCTTTTTTTCACTTATTTGAGTGATTTTAATTAGTTTAAAAATACTTTTCTGTTTTAAAAGTTACCAAAAAAATTATAAAAATATTTGAGATCACTTCTGACTTTTCTATGGTCTCTTTTAATTTTTCTTTGATACTTTGAATTTAATTTGCTATTTTGCCTTTTATTTTCATTTAAAAAACAATTTAAAAATCATTTTCTTTTTTTATTAAATGCAATTTATTTTTGAATATATTATGGCTATGTGATTTTTGATCATGAACTTCATTAACATCATTGGATCTTGTGTGTTGAGTTTAACTCCACCAAAATGGACGAATGATTTTAATGATAGTTTGATTAAAATCTTTGATTCAAATATTTGCCATCCCTCTTCATCGTATCCCTTTCTCATTTGTGCTACATGTTGTTAAAGGATGGTCTACATATCATTTCTCCAAACATATGGCACATAGACTGCTATTGATCGGCCTCAAAATAGGTACGACTTCTATATAAGTCCACTTACGATTGCTTAACATAGCGCTAAATTTTGTCCCAATTCGAGAAATGATCATTCATGGCCGAAACCAATGTTTACAAGCCCAAGTATGTTTAACTTGAAATCTTTGATCCAATAACCTTGAGGTTTATTGTAGGAGGCTTTAGTCTTATCAATTCTCTGATGAACCATCATAAATTTTGGTCTAAGTGAATCATTTAAACATCATTGATCATTTGTTGTTGCCTTGAGAATTTGAAATGAATGATATATTTGACAAAAAGTAAATGAAACTTGTTGTTGAGAGGCTTTGATTTTATCAATCTTCTAATGAGTTTTCAGATGCAAATTTCAAGATGGTCATTCAACTAATCTCTAATTTCTAATTCATTAACACTTGACTCTTATTTTGTGCTTTTACTTTACGCCTTTACTTTTACGCACCATTTACTTTAGCATTTATATTTCATGCTATTTTCATCTTTGCTCACTTAAGCATTTACCTTTATGTCATTTTGTTTTGCTCACTTGAGTTTTTCATTTTCTTTTTGAAGATACTTAATAACCAACTTGAACAATAAAAATACTTTAAGGTTACTTGGACTATTTGGTTACTATCCTTAGCATGAAGTTATGGACCTCTTGGACTTAGGATTAGAAGCTTTGACTACCCTTGGGACCCTTGTGACTTCTACTGTTATTTTGTCTGGAGTTCTTGGGGTTTAATCAGAGACATTGGGTTATTTTTCTTTGTGTGCAAGTTATTCTAATTATATGCTTTGCCTGTGATTGAAAATTCATTTGTATACAACTGTTACTCTACCCAATTTTTGTGAAGACTTAATGCATTTGAAGTTTGGTATTCTTAAGAGGTTTATTATCTTTGCTTGTTTGGTTTCAAATCTAAAGGATGATAATTCTACATTGACTCATTGTGTCAAGTGTTGGCTTCTTGTTGGTTAGACGGTTCTTTTCCCTAGCTTTTACCTTATGCTTTAGGATAGTCCCTTCATATCCTCCCATCTTCTTTAATTTCAAAAAAATCTCCTCCCTCCTTTTCAAAACTATTCTTGTTTTATAAACTTGAATCGCTTTCACAATAAACTTGGACTTAGGTCCATGCATTTTCAAAAACATTTTCTTAATCAAACTTTAAACAACTTAATCATACTTTGACATTTTTGTGAGAAGAATAAAAGTCAATCAATCTCATTCAAACCATTTTTGCCATTTTGGCTTTCTATTTAAAAAAAAAACTCTTCTCAAAAGATTAGACTCTTGTGAATTCTTGTAGTGATGCGAGCTACTATACTTCTACGATATGTAGTGAAGTGAGATATTTTCCACTTAAGTGTCGAGTGAGGCTCTATTGATTTTAAAATCTAAGTTATATCCTCCACTTTGAGATGACGCAAATTCTCCTTTCTCATAATCACGGGTAGTAAGTATGTTCTTCCACTCGGAGATGACAATGATGTCTTGTCTCTTAAAATTAACCAACACACATGTGTTTTAAAATTTTTAAAGGTGAACTACGAGTATCCTGATCCCCTATTGCACGGAAGATGGTACGTAGGCACTAAAGGTTCGCAATCGCAGCGCGGTTCAAAAATTATTTAAAAAAATACTTCTTTTCTCATCTCCACCATCAATTTTTGTATACAACATCCATAGCCAAATACACAAATTTTTAAAGAGGTTCCTGCGGAGTACCATAGATGTTTAGGATGCTAATATCTTCCCTTTGCATAACCAACCCCCGTACCTAGATTCTCTCCCCCTCTTTTTGGGTTATTCGCTCTTTTCTCATTCCTTCGGTAACAATAAAGCACAATGGCGATTTTTATTTGATCTGTGCGAGTCAAGTCAATTCAATGGCTTAATCTCAATATTTCTACCGCTACAAGCACCAATGGTGATTTTAATCTTTCGAGGTCTAAAACTTTGTTAAGTAATTGGCGAATCGTTTCTAAGAATGATCATAGCCATGGGCATGTCATCTGAAGACCTTCAGCTTGAACAAGTTGTTCCCTTCATAGTTCGTTTACCCTCATGAGGCAAATTTGAAGACTCTGCCTTTCCAAATACAGTTAATATGGGACAGTCATGTCGAGATTCAATGAATCTCTCCAAGAGTTTGAAGACATTGGGGCATTTTGGATGCCAAGTCTTTTGTAAAATCCTCTTGAGACAATTTCTTCTCATAAACCATGTAACTTAGGGCATTTAAGAAGTGAATTTATTCGCAAGAATTGTCGTGTATCATGTAGTTTATCAACAGTAAATTTGGGGCATCTAAAAATAGTTCTAGGGGAAATCTAGATTTATCAAGATATGTGACCTGCTTTGCACATATTATTAGATGGTGGTGTTCCCCAGTAGTTCCAGCTAAGCGAGATTTTTTTCTCCAACTGAAGCGTTGTTCGTGTTGTTATCCTTTCAATGGATTATTAATGTAAGATGATTAGACTTTGGATTTTCTCGCGAGAAGTGTCTTCATCACCAGAGAGATTAGATCCTTATAACAGAAATATGTTATGTCGATGGCTTTTGTTCTATCTTTAGTAATGTTCCCATCTTATCGAGATTAGTCGAGTATCTGTTTGTACTGTGATGTCTTTTCATCTCCAATTTATCTATTTTGTCTGTTTTGTCAGCATATACATGACATTCATTTATTCATTCTTACTTACGTCATTCATGCACATTCACATTTCTCTATGTTTTTGGATCCATCTCTGTTGGTTGTGTTAAAACCACAATACAATGTAATATTTTTAGTGTGTATTAGGATCTTCTGATGTACTTAATTGAGTTTACACTTGTGTAGAAACATTATTTTGTAAACAAACTTTATAAAAACAAATAGGAGATTCTGCGAGATTGAATTTTATCGAATCAATGATTGTTAAATCCGATTGAATCACTGAGCATATCATTATATATTTTTTGGTTTGAAATCCTATTTAAAAAAATTCTCAAGTAGTTTAAAAATCTATAAATTGAGTAAACCAAAAACTAAGATCAACCTTAAATAAAATCTCATTAGCTAATTAAATAAAATAAAACACAATCTTTATAAGCTAAATAAAACTAATTATACAGGTGCGAAGGAAAGTTATATTTGATCCGCAACGGAAGCGTTTGTTTTAAATCTAACTTTCAACAAAATGGATTATCATTTTAAAAACATAAACAAAAACGCAAAAGAAGTTCATAATAAAACAACCAATAGGAGTTATACAACTCGACTTAGCGATCCGTGACTCATGTCTCAGATGTCATCTTAGCCGTTTATTTAAATTGAGAAAACACACCTCAACACTTCATAAACCGTCCGATCGTAACAGAGAAAGCACACGGATAGTGAATCGTATCCGTTCGATCATTGACCAATCTGCTATATATATACACCTTCACAAGTTGACAATTCAAACTTTAGATTCTATATCCCGACATTCAGCGAACGAGTTCTTGAAGAGAAGAAGAAAGCAAAAGTCTCAAGGTTAGTTTTTCTTCGCTACCGTAACAATTTAGGAATCTAGGTTTCTTGTCTATGATTTTCTACTTTTCTTCGTATGTGAATTCCAACGTTTTTCTTTGATTGCATTTCGAACCGTGTTCTCTAATTTGGGAAATTAGGGTTTGTGTTTGCTGTGTTTCGTTTTTTTTCTTTATAATTTGAACTTGTGTTAGGGTTGATTCTAATCATGAATGATTTCATTCCTCATTCAATTTTTTATTATGATTTCTTTAGAATTTCATCGATCTATTCTTAGGAGAAGAAGCAATTACGTTTCTATTTTGTTAATTTGAGATTGGTAATAATTGTGATTAGGTTAGATTTGAAAATTTCTGGTCTCTTTTTGGTTTTCTGAAGTTATAATTTCTTATTGTTTGGGTTGTTTAGATGGCACGTACAAAGCAAACTGCACGTAAGTCTACTGGTGGAAAGGCGCCAAGGAAGCAACTTGCAACCAAGGTATGCTTGATAAATTGATTGTCTTTTGTGTTAATATTTTGTGGATAATGGGTTAAAATGTTTCTGTTTTTGTATTTTACCTAAAGGCTGCTCGTAAGTCTGCACCAACTACTGGTGGTGTCAAGAAGCCACATCGTTATCGCCCTGGAACTGTTGCTCTTCGGTATGATTTTGTTGGAACATTTGTTCGTACTGCTATGTCTGTTCTGTTTTGTTTAGTTTTGAATTTGTTCCAATTGAATTGGTGAATTTTTGATTGTTTGTTATTGTCTTGCTTTTATTAAACAGTGAAATTAGGAAATATCAGAAGAGTACCGAGCTTTTGATCAGGAAGCTTCCCTTCCAGAGGTTGGTTCGTGAAATTGCTCAGGACTTCAAGGTAATGTGTAAATACTCTTGTGAAATTCTATGATTGTTTTTATTTGTAATAACATTAGCTAACCCAATTTTGTTTGTATCTTTGCAGACTGACCTTCGTTTCCAGAGCCATGCTGTTCTTGCATTGCAAGAGGCTGCTGAGGCGTACCTTGTTGGACTCTTTGAAGATACCAACTTGTGTGCCATCCATGCTAAGCGTGTTACTATTATGCCCAAGGATATTCAGTTGGCACGCAGGATCCGTGGTGAACGTGCTTAAGGGTAATGGAATTGGTGCTGTTTAGAGGGGTGGCTGCTGATAGTGTTTTGTTATTGAAATGCTTAGTTGTTTAGGGAAATATCTTTTATTTGTAGACTCTCATTAATTGTGATGATAGGAATATACTATCTTAATTTTAGATTTTGGGTTGTATTTGCTTTCGATGACGTTGAATATGTTAAATGTTCTTGTTCTTACTGGGTATGTAGCCACTCTGGCTTTGTTCTTTGGACGTGCTATCTAGACTAGTATTTTTTAGCTTGTGTATATTCCATGAGTTTGAAATAATTTTCTTAAATCATTCCCTATATTTTATCTAATTCTAGGCGAAAATCTTATGGGTGATTTTACAGTATATTCTCTGATTCATCTTTTAAGGATAAAATCTATGGTGCCAAGTGCCAGCCTACATTGGAAAACCTTTTTCTGCCTTACAAAACAACCCACAAAAACCACGCCCTCTTCCTTACCTTGAATGCTCTCACTTTATTAAGCTCATTCTATTACAATCTCTGCCATTCTGATTCTATATCAACCTTTGCCAATTAAACCGATGCTCTCACACACCTTTCAAATATTGGGCCTACTGCTTTCACGACTATCCAAGCCCAACAATTTGTCAAACTGTCTCAATTATAGGACAAACTTTTTCTTTATTAATAAACTTTTCCTTTATTTATAATGAATAGTTAATCAGTTTTTTATAAACCTGTTCTATCGTACAGGTGTAAAAATTTATTATTGCAAAAATTGTGTTTATAATGATGAATGTTTCGATAAATATTATATTATACTTCAATCCCCTCAATATACTGTTTTATAAATATATTTCAAAGTCGTAGTTGTTTATTTAGTTATTTTATAGTATTTTTAAAGAAGTTGATACGTCCTTAGTCCACGAACTTCTTAAAAATGTTGGTTTATTATTTTATTTATTTCTATAAATACTATACTATAGTTTATTAGTTTGTCGTTTACATGTGAATTTTTTTTTAGCAATAAGTATTGAAAAAAACGTAAATAATTACGTTTTTGGAGAAATTTACTCAAATAACTATATTTTAGAAAATACTTAAATAGAGGAGTCAAGTGTGATGTTACATCCTCTTTAATTTTAATTTTGTATAGAGGCGTCAAGTGAGATGACATACATGTATAACATATTTTGTCCTTAGCCATCTTATATGGCGCCTAAGTGTAGTTAAGAAATAATTTTTTTGCTTTCTATTTTAAATACACGATAAGTAAACGATATAGTTTAATGAAACTTTGATTTTTCATTAACAAATAAACGATTACATAATGAAAAAAAACATGCATATTATTTAGCTGTTCCTTGGAATTCGGTAATGACCCGTGATTCCGCACCCGCGTTCTCGCCTATCTTGTGGTGGGTTTCATCGATTTTTCTGTTTCGGTTGGATCGATGACCAAACGAAGTCAATGCGTTCAGGATCCATGAAATCAGTGAGATCACCATATCTGAAAGATTCCTTTTGGTACAATCGGTTACCCATGCCGTCAAAGTTTGGTCGTCTTGGCGGGGGTGGGGTTTTATGGATGGTCTATAGCATTGGTCGTCTGAGTAAGAGGGTAAAAAGGAAATGCATCTTGGAGTGTTGGGTATTGCTATTGTTGGGTACTATGGTGATGTGGTGATTGATGGTAAGTTGGGTCAGTTGAGTCATATTTTTCAGGAAAGCTTAGATCTGGGTTAAGGTGAGATGATGAGGGGCCCACATCGGAACGTGGAGAAGACTGAAATTGTGTGTGGGACATGTGGGTGTATTAGTATTCCGATTGAGATTGAGGTTGAGTGTGGGGCATATGTGTGTATTGGTATTGAGGTGGTGATTGTGGTTGGGTGTTTGTGAATCTGTATCGTCGTGGTGTTTGGTGGAAAGTTGATGTGCGTTGGGTTTGTAGTTTGGGATATGAGATTTATGCCCATTGTGTTTGTGAGTTGACCAAATACCTTGGGTGACACACATACATTTCTGGGTTACTACCCGATATGTACCAATCAAAATATTACTACGTGTGTCGCATATTATTCTTGTTGAGGAAAATAGGGAATTGTAAAACATGTTGGTGATTCCTATGCCACATCTTACACCATTATGGAGCAAAATCTTTTCAATTAGTAAGATTCAATTGGGCGTCGACCCTTTTGAGGTGCTAGGGTGACAAATAAGTTGGATCACATGGTATCTCTTAATGCATTTCAAACTGCATCTTGACATGGTCGTTGTGGTGCATCTCCACAACGTTGAACCGTATGTTTGTAGTTTTTACAGTCCAAATTGCTGCATTCTCAGGGTTTGGTTCATGGTCCAATCCCAAATATGGTCTCTAGATAAACTGTGGATAAAATTAAATCAGAATAATGAAAACGTAAAAAATAAATAATTTAAAAGTAGAAAAATTCAAAGGTACCACATACATCATCCGGGTTAAGGTGATCCAATAGATTACGATATAGAGCGACATTGAATCTTGGATTCTTGCCGTAATTCATACCCGTTACACAGTACCTGAAGGAATTGAAAAATAGTTAATCTTTAACATTTATTTAGCGAAAGAATGAATAATAAATTATTTAAGTTCTTGACTTACTTTGTTGCATATGGGAAAATGAATGCATGGTTGTTAATGGAGTTTATGGACTCCATTCTCCACCAACCCCATGCTTGGAGTAAGAAAACGCATACATAAAAAGTACATTTGTCTTTTGTTACTTTTTTACACAAAGAACAATATAGATGAGCTAAAACAGCAGAACCCCAACTATACATTCTTATTTTTTCAAAGTTCCTAAGCAAACTTAAATACATAAAATTTACACTATTCCCTGTACTTTCGGGAAATAACAAGTTTCCAAATAGTATCATCATATAATTTCTAGCTTTAATTATTCTTGCTAGTTCGGACGAATTCTCATTCAACTCAAGAGTCGCATAATGTTTTTTAAGTTCGGTTTGTTGAACCGACCCATTCACTGCCTTACCATCGATAGGGAAACTCAATAACATGTACACGTCCTCTAGTATGACGCTACATTCACCTATTGGTAGATGAAATATGTGTGTCTCGGGTCTCCATCTTTCCAATATTGCAAGTATAAACTTGGAATCAATCGTGCAGTTTGAGATTTTTATAACATTTTAAAAACCCGCACATTAGATACAGGTCACGATCAACGGGTCAGGAGTAATGTAGTTGTGTGAGCGAATTCTAAATCTTTTAGTATCCTAAATTCAAAATATAAATAGTGTAAGAGTCCATAAGATGACTAATTTAATAATAATTTTATAAAAAATATATTAATATAAAAGAATATTTAAGAATTATAGAAACTTGCAAACGCCGTAATGTTGTCTCTTGTGTCTGTGAGAATTGCCCATTATGAGAAGAGCCATATTTGAAATTGTATAAGACAATGAAAGAGTTTGTATCAGAGAGTGAGATGATTGGTGATGCAAAACAAGTGTCTCAGACGCCATATTTATAGGCAAAATCGTATAAGAGTGAATTAATGAGGTGGTTGGTGGTTGCATGCATGCATGATACGTGCCATGCTGACGCCAAGTCAAATGGCGCCTACATGCGTTTTAGAGAGCATGCGCCAGTCAACTTGGCGTGGGAGAGACCTACATGTAGAGTCAATGGCAGCATAGGTGCAGTGTAAGATGGCAGCATAAGTGCAGTCTTCTACGCATGCATGTAAGTTGATAGGACATGTAGGGATGCGCCATCCCAGATGGCACATAAGAGCAAAATTGAACAATTTCGCCATCTCAATTGGCGACTTAGTGGTGGAGCATTTTTGTCTTGTTCAACTTCAATGAAACCTATTTATCCTACATGCATCTAATGTTATCAACACTCAAACATTCAAACATTCAAACATTCAAACATTCAAACATTCAAACACCAAACACAATGTCCTCTACATCACAATACGTTATCAGTACACATTTCAACGACGAGATGTACATTTGTCCAACCTCTGGTTTTTTATTTAGAGACACTGATAATATTTGATTTTATTTAAACAGAAAAGCTAATTTCTTGTATTTCAAAAAATGAGTAGAGGTCAAACTTGGACGAGGTTCAGTGACACACATATTCTATCAAGATCTAGTTTTTTTTTGTGAGAACCAAATAATATTTTATAAGGTAGAGGTTCAAGATGAGGAGGACCTTCAAAATATGTTTTCTAGTCATGAGTATTCTGGATACGACTCGGTTGAGTTGTACATTGTGCTGCAGAAGCCTCAGTTGTCACGACCAGCTTAGTCACATTTGGTTGATCCTCTCGAAGATGAACAAACTGAAGTAGATGTTGTTGACGAAGAAGAGGAAGATGAAGAATTAAAGTTTGACAACATGGTCAACGATGCGCTACCTGAAATACCTCTGAATGAAATTTACACACCACCTTCACACATGACAAACTTCAACATGGGCGGAGATGAACCTTCATCAGATGCTTTTTTCAACCCGTATATGCAGTCAGATGAAAATTTAAAAGAGAAAGACAAATTTCGTAATAGAGAAGATTGTATGCGAGCTATAAAAAAGTTTCACATGTTAAACTTTGTTGATTTTAAGGTAGACCAGGTAAATCCAGAAAGGTACAAGCTCATGTGTGTTCACCCAAATTGTATGTTCAGACTCACTGCATCATACAAGCTGAGAGGTGATTGTTGGGTGATAGGTTCTATGTCCACCCACACGTGCGTTAATTATACTCATTCACAAGATCATCGTAAACTAAATTATGATGTAATATGTCAAGAAATCCTACCTCTCATCAGCAATGATCCGTCATTGAAGGTGAAAACGATAATCTCTCACATCACTATAATATATAATTATACTCCATCATACAGAAAGGCATGGTTAGCAAAGGCCAAGGTGATTGAAAAGGTATATGGAAATTAGGAGGAGTCATACAAAGAACTATCGTGCTACCTGCATACACTTCAAAAATATTC